TTTCTGTCTATATCTATATTTTGCCCTAATTTTTGAACAACATGTAGTTTAGAGTAGAATTTGAGGATGACAATTCTTTTCTCTCTGCACTTTGAAGATATTCTCACCTCCTTTGTTGCTGATAAGAAGGCTGTTGAATGATCATTGCTTTGTAGGTAATTTTATTTCTGTGGTTTCTTTTAGGATTTTCTCATTGTCTTTGGTGTCATGAAATTTCACTACAATGCAGCAAGGTAGAGTGTTTTATATTTTCTCTGCTCAGAAATCACCATGCCTAAAAATTTATGTACCCATTAGTTCTGGAAAATTAGTAGCCATTGAGTATTGCTTCTTTCCCATTCTCTCCATTGACTTCTGAAATCCATAGTAGAGACGCTTGACCTGCTTGTTGTAGCCTGAGTGTCTCGGGCTCCTTTTCTCATTTATTTCCTTCCTTCTTTCCTTTCTTTCTCTCTCTCTTTCTCTCTTTTCTTCCTTTTTATGAGTTTATTTGAGCCAAGCTGATAACTTCCGGGAAAATCAAAATCGCAAATTGAGAAAATGCTCCCTCCTTTATTGTCGGTCTTTGAAAAATCTTTGTTGATTCAGTACATTCCTCTAACGTGAATTTAGAAGGGGACCAAGGGGGTTCTCTGGGAGGTGACTTTTGTGTGTTTCAGTAAAAGCAAATTTTACTTAGTAGCAGTACCCTCCGGGGGCCCCAGCAAAACTCCCACCCACACAGCCACCTCCCCACCCCCAAGGTTTTACTGTGCTTTCAAAAGAAAACAAAGAGGACTGTTAAAGAAATCAGAAGCATAGAATGACTTAGAGAACAAACTGCCAAGTGAGAAGCAAGTAGATCAAAAGATCACCAGAGCTAACTAGAGAAAGGGGGAATTTTTTTAGTGTTCTCTAAACCCTATGAGAAAGACCGAGGGGCCTGTTTCAATGACTGCAGCATTTCAATTGAGCTCAAACTCTCTGAATACATCCCAAGACAACGGGCCTCTCCTCAACACCTCTCTCTCACCCCCATGCCCTAATAAATCATTCAGGACTGCCCTTACCCTGGTGAGGGGCCAGCCAGGAACGGATTGGTAGGGAGTGGAGGCGGGATGATGACCGCACAGAGGTGGAGGGACCCTCCCACAGCTAGGTAATCACCGCCTTCTGGAAAGAAAGCTGAATGTTTGACAAGTCCAAGTCCCGTAAAAGCTCCCGCCACCACCCGGGTCTCCTGAGTACCACCAAGGGGAAGAGCAGGGTGGAAAAATCGGACCCATGACCTTTGGCAGATCAGGCTTCTGGAGCAAGGAACCCAAGAACACCTGGGTCCTGCCTACACCTGACGGGGACATGTGGCCTGCGGTGGTCAGAACCCAAAGGGGTTCAGGGGGGCTCTGCTCTGGACGCACCCCCTCCCCATTTTCCACTCCCCGACTCCATGCATGTTCTGCAGACTGGAAGGAGGTCTGCGTTGCGGAAAGACAGGGTGCGGGAAAGACAGATGCGGCTCTGCTCTGCCTCACGCTACAGGCCGATCCGTCACCTCCCCAGGCACCAGCCTCCTCCGTGTGGAATGGGGGTGACAGTCATCTCCCGCCCGCCCCGCAGGCAGGCTGGAGGCTGTTTGAAAAACAAGAGGAAAATATGCTAACGTGTCCTGTAGGGTGCTGCTCACATTCAGAAACTGAGAAACCTGGTAAAATTTTGTTTTATATTCTTAGAACTGAAGTTTTACTTCAATAAAATTTACTTTGAAATACACGATTATGGTGAAAAGCATTAAAAATTTTTAGCATCCTATACTTCCCAGTCTTCCCCCCCCCCATACAAGTGCATATAGTTATTGCTTTGCTTTAATACCAAGAGCGTTTCCAGTAGTGAACAGTCTTCTATGTCATCATCATCGCTAATGCTCTGAAGTCATGGGTTTCCCAGCGGTGTCCGGCGCAGGTAAACCGGCTAATTAGTGAACAGAACCGATGGGCGGTTCCCCGCTCGAGCAGCTCCAGGGCCGAGCCTGCAGCCCCGTGCACACCGTGCGCGCTGTGCATGACTTTCCTGGGCAGCGGCGGCCGTGCTCGACGGAAGGCCTGCCCGGTTCTTAACGGCGGGTGCATACATGTGGCCAAAGCGGCCGGTTGCATTTTCCTTGAGGACTGGCACCCGAACCCCACCTCCCCCACCCCGGCGCCTCCTCCTGCAGTGGAACCT